TTCTCTTTCTTTCCTCGCTTCCCTCCCTCTTTTCTCCCTTTTCCTCTCCCTTCTTCCTTCCTTTCCTTTCTTACCTCTTTTCCCTCCCTTCCTCCTCCCCTCTCTCACACACATAGACCTTCTCTCTTTTTGGTCATGGGATTCGGGCCACTTTTCATCACAAATGAGCCTTTTTTTTTTTTTAAGGCAATTGGGGTTAAGTGACTTGCCCAGGGTAACACAGCTAGTAAGTGTCAAGTGTTTGGTCTGAGGTCGGATTTGAACTCAGGTCCTCCTGACTTCAGGGCTAGTGCTCTATCCACTGCACCACCTAACTGCCCCTATAAATGAGCCTTCTTAAGGAACCGCTGATGCCAGGTTATAGACACAGCAGCACTATAGAGCCATAGTAGACCTTAGCCAACACATGCATATCACTTCTGGACTGGCCTCCCTTTCTTCATCTGTTCATCAAGGGGATTAAACTTCATCGAGTTGGAAGGGCTCTTGGCAGTTTCCAGTCCAACCCCGATCTGAATAGGACTTCCCTCCACAACATCCCTGCCAATAAAATGGAACCCACTACCTCCCGAAGCAGTCATTTCCACTTGTCTAATGACCAGGAAGTTTTTCCTCACATCTAACTGGAATTTGCTTCTTTGAAACTTCCTTCTCCATCTCCAAGGTCTCATCCCTGTCTGATGCTTTGTGGCCCTCTAACTTTGTAACAAACAGAAGTACAAGTGTTAAATTACATATACGTTCAGCACTGCTATTATAGGGTCACCATTGAGTTCTTGGGGAGATCCCATTTGGAAGGTTAGGTTTTAGGCACGATTGTCCAACATCTTTCTTTGGTCTTTTGAAGATCTTTAGGAAGGTTGAAGCTAACAGGTTATTTTTGGATGGAGTGAGCAGTAAACAGGTCTTGGGTTCCAAACCTGCCTGTTTAGCGGATGTATACATGCACCCACAAGTCATTCTGCCTCCAGTGAAGAGGTCTTGGGGATGCTTGAAAGTCTGCCTACCATGTAGCACCAGAAAGAGGGATGTAGAGGGAGCCAAAAGTGTTGGGTTACCACCTACATTGCTATAATGAAGCTAACAAGTCTTAGCACAAGCTGGAATGCTGAAGATAAGAATTTCCTGGGCTAGAGTAATTATAAATAGTTATGCCTACCCTTAAAGAAAAATTCTGCATTGGTCAAAGTTAGAATTCTGTAACTGACTTTATTTAAGCTTAACAAAAACTCTTAACCTAAGACCAATTAATTGCCCTAAGCCATATTTCACTAATACTAAAAGTATTTTCTAAGAATAAAGAAAAAAAGGCACTTTAATATTATCTTGGACCTGAGAGTGTAGGCCCAGAAAAACAGATGGAAAATTTGGAAGGGGTTAGGGCAGGTGAGAGTCTCTTACTAATTTTTCCCAAAGACTTTTTTTAATTTTGAATAATTTTTGGTGGTAGAAGGGTGGCAGCAGGGAGAAAGGAAGGGTGGGAGAAAAATTTGGTTTTTAGAAAATTTAAATTGGTGAAGGAAATAGATAACGTGTTATTGACGTTGATTCTAGTCCTGGTTCCATCACCAATTTGACCTTGCATCAGTCATTATATTTCTTTGAGCCTCAGTTTCCTTATCTGTAAAACAAGGAGGGTCAACCTTTTTGCTTTGTAAGGCCCTTTCAGCTCCAACATGGTGGACAAATTCTATTGTTACCCAGTCTTGAATCTCCCCCTTTCAACCAAATGATTTCTAGAAACTGTGTAATAAGGAGTTTTGACATAAAACAGTTGTCCCTGTTAGATCCTTTTCCTTTTTTTTTTCCCATATACAAATAGAAATATAAGGGTAAGGGGGTGCATTTCTTTCTGCCCTTAGGCATTACTCTTTTCACAAGGAAAGGAAACAATGCCTTCTTTGCTTGTGGACTTCTTTTTCATGACTTGTTCATAAGGTTTTTTTTTGTGTCATGGACCTTTTGGTATAATCTTATGAACTCTATAAGACTCTTCTAAGAATGATGTTTTTAAATGCATAAAATTAAGGACTTAAGTTTACAAAGGAAGCCAATTATATTGAAATACACCCATGTATATTGAAAGAACCCATGATCTACATAGGAATGGGCAGAGGAATACTCGCAATCACACCCTTCCCCTCTGCCATCTCCCCCCAATTCCCTAAGGCAGAAATACAAAGGATGATAACATTTGATGACATTCTCAAACAAGCAACACTCTTAGGCTTTGATGCTGGGAAGTTCCTTCTCAATGTTACAATATACAGAACATCTTCTGTGCTAGGCTCCAAAAGGTAGGCTAGGATTCTTCCTAGTGCGTCTCACTCCTGCAATGACGCAAAGCCTTTGTATGACCCAGCCCCTTCTTAGTTCCTTTGGCCTGGTTCACATTCTGCCATCTTTTACATACCAGGAAAGAAATCAGTCTAGGTTGGGAAATGTTTGTACCAGATTAAAAATAAAGTAGCAAGTGAAAGGGTAGAAACTTCAGGCCAATCCGGGAAAGCTTTATTTTTTAGAAACCTTTGAGGATAACTGTGACCCATTGGTATGCAGGATCCGTTGGTAATGAGAACTCAGAAGATACTAATATGATTAAAAACAGTATTTTCTTAGTTCTTTTCCTGAAAATGACTGATATATTCTATAACTCTATATTTAAATTCTTCTCCAAATGTCTTCCCCCCCACTTTGGGGATGAATTTTAAGTTATTTCCCCCCCAATGCCTTAAAATTTTCTAGGAATATTTTTATATTGCTAGATCGAGGAATATAAACATTTTTATATTCCTAGGATATCTATATATTCTTGAGACTATAGAGGACATAAAAAGTTGAGGAAACACAACTTTCTAATCGCTGATATTTTCTTGTCAGCCCAAGTTTTTACCTGCTTCTTATAAACTCAAGAATCTGATATCTGAAATTTTTGTCTATATTTTAATAGTATGTAGATGCCTTGGTAACAGAATTAGAAACGTTTAAAAGCCTGCAATCTTATAAATAAACACTACTTTTAAATTAATTATCATCCTAATTTGATTTGCCAAGTTAAACATAGAGATGGTGTTGCAGATAAGGTAGAGTTTGGAGTCAGGAAGACATGAGTTCAAATCCCACCAGCACTTTCACTTAACCTCTCTGTAAAGTTAGGGGGTTGGAATAGGTGACCTCTGGTCTCCTCTCTGAAACAACTTAATAAGTCGTTGCCTATCACACATATTAGCCATGTATGACCATGGGCAAATCACTTAATTTTTTTTTTTTTGTCCCAAGCAACTCTCAAAGACAATTATATTTCAGACCATCTGTTGATCCTCATTGATGGCAGGGGGTTTCTATACCAGGAATCCCCTTCAGCAATGAAATCACAAGTCTGGACCCCCTCAAAATGAGAGGCTTGGACTCCATGATCTTTGAAAGCCCTTCTAGTTGTAGATAGCATATCTTTGTGTTCTTAAGCCAACAGGTTTTTTGGAGGTACAAAGTTTTTTGCCTGATCTATTCAGATGCTCTTTTCTTCACATATTTCTTTTTTAAAAATTTTTGAGTTCCCAATTCTCTCCCTTCCTCCTGGTCTCCTTTATCCAATGAAAAGGCAAGCAATATGATATCAGTTATACAGCACATATTTCTTGTTAAAGACTTAGCTTGCAGTTCTCTAACAGTTTATAAGTTTTGAACTGATTTCCTTACAACAACCCTTTGAGATGATGTTGTTATTAATTAGCTCCATTTTATGATTGAGAGACCTGAGGCTTCAGGAGAATGAAATGATTTTTTCCAGGGTCACACACTACACTTAGTGATTGGTGGAGCCAGGATGCTAACTCAGGGCTCTTAGTTTATCATTCTTGACACTACCTCTTAAACAGGAACCTTATATGTTTGCTTTTGATAATAACTGAGAAACCTTTGTAGTCTTCTGCCAACTAATCCCTGTTATTTGCATCCCCTCATTATTACCTTCTTAGATCTTTTAGGGCTCAAATTCCTTATGATTAGATCTGCAGTTCAGACATGCATTTCTCTTCTTGAATGCTAGATCTGTTTAAAATGATTTCCCCTTCCCCCAACTGTATAGCTTCTTCCCCTTCTCAGAAAAACCCCTTTGTTACCCATATTTAAATTCTTCTCTATTTTTTTTTACCCCGTTACTGGGGTGGAGTTTAAGGTTGTTTTTCCTCAGTTTAAAATTTTCTAGGAATATTTTTTTCCCCCTATCTCTAGGTATGAGGAAAATGACAAATTTTTCACTTCACTTGCTACTAATGACTGGATTCTGAAAGGAAAGCTAGTCTGTGTGTCAATTACCCACCCACCTTGTGCATTATGGAGGCATTCATTTCTATGGCCCTCTGCAAATCTAGCTTTACCTCTCCTTTGTGAGCACCTCTCTCCGGAGAAAGGAAAATGAAAATACAACAACCCAGACAGAACTTAGATGATTCTGCTGTTGGTTCTAGTATAAGGCTATGTGAGAGAAAAAAACCCCAAAAAACAGGCTGTTAATGATGGGGAGGCTTGGGGGTTAGCCAGGAGTGGTTGTTCTTTAAAAATGCCTGTATACCTCAAGCACTTGATGCATGAGAACAAATGAAATCTTACTAACAAACCAACCTTCCTCCCCCCAAAACCCCCATCAATAACCCTTTCTGTGCCTCACTGTCTTCATCTGTAAAATGAAATAGCACTTACCTCACAGAGGTGGTTGTGAGGTTCAAATGAATGAACATAGACAAAGCACTTTGCAGACCTTAATACCCTATTAAATGCATTAGAACTTAATGCACTATTAATATTATTATTCTCATCCTCTTTTGTGGATAAAGTAAAAATTTAGGGTGATCCATGCTAGGTGTTAGCCCTTCAGATGACAGGCTGACATCAGGAAAGCCTTCACCAAATAGTTCCCACTAGAAAAGATTTGTTTCTAATGGCTTTTGCCATACACAGAATGACGTGTATTGGTGACTCTCCTTTTTCCATCTCCCTAGTCTGACCTCAACAACCCGGTCCAGTTCAGAGGCTCTTAGGGGAAGATACGCCGCTCCTGAACAAGAGGTAGGTTTATTTCCTTCCCCTGTATTTGCTACTTCTCAGAAGACTTTTTTTCCAGGAATGCATTTAGTCATTTTAAATCTTGTTTATCTGCTCATTTGTTTGTTTAGCTGTGCATTTTGTATGTTGTATCCTCGTTGATTTGTATTTGTCATCCACTTCTCTCCCTGAGAAAGAATGGGAAGATTAAAGAGAAAACTGGTTGGCGCCTTCCCATGTGTGCTGTGGAGGCGAAGTTGTTTCCACAGTTTCTGAGGCTCCTACCACCAGAGCTGGCTCTTGGAGCACGGCTCCTGCTGCTTGGGCCTCCTAGCAGATGTTTAATTAACTGCTCCATGCTGTGCTCTTGAAGATCTCGCCGCTTCTCTCGGTGAGCATCCTGCTTCTGGAGGCTTGTAAACTCCTCGAGCTATAGTAGAATGCTTGATTCCTACATCTCCACCCTCTGCAGTGACAAGGGGAGAGCTTGGAAAACTAAATGGAACAATGGAACACCTTGGGCCACAGGGAGAATGCCTAGGCAGGCAGAGGGGAAATAATGTTGCAGCTGGGATGTCTTCATTTTAAGTCTGGGTCCCGCAGCCCTCTGATCCTAGGCTTTCTAACTCTGGTGTTTTGTAGAGATAAGTCCATCATTTCCTCTTCTCTGCAAAAAATAATTTTCCAGTCCATCCAGAAACAAGTCTTGCAAAAAACTTGAGCTAGGACCACAAGGCCACATTTGGAAAGAATTCTGAAAGGAAGAAACAGTGATACTACTATTTCCTGAAAAGCCCGGCTGCCAGACCTGTGAAAATGCACGCTTTTTTTTTGTTTTATTTTGTTTTTAGGCAATTGGGGTTAAGTGACTTGCCCAGGGTCACACAGCTAGTGAGTGTTATGTGTCTGAGGCCAGATCTGAACTCAGTACCTCCTGACTTCAGGATCAGTGCTTTATCCACTGCACCACCTAGCTGCCCCAAAAATGCACACTTTCCTACAATGGGGCTGGCCTGGGCTCTGGCCCTAGGTCAGAAGCGCAAGGCCCATTTTGACATCTGGCCGTCGGCTCCATCTCTGTGACCACTCCTAGATAGTCAGGCTTTGTTATCTACCCAGAAATGGTCTCTGTCTAGCTGGCGTTTTGCAGATGATCTTTCCTGCACCTAAGCTGAGACAGTTGGGGTTGTCTCCAGGCCAGCACATCTTATTGGATCTCTCTGTCACAGAAGAGCAGAGATGACCCAGCAGAGTTTGAATTGGTTATGGCACATCCTTTAGGAGAAGAAAAGCCACCCCCCAGAAGCCCGGATTGTTTTTTGCCACTGAGTGGGTGACCACCTGCTGAGACTATCCTGTCACATTTTCAGTATCTCTATTGTGTTTGGAATTTAAACAAAAAGCAACAGCCAACCTCCGGATAGGTTTAACATAGGGGGATTCTTTTTCAGGACTCAGTGTGGGAATAAATCCATTATTTTCTTCTTTCCAAACTAGTGAATATATGGTTTGTAGTTTTCTTACCCGGAGTACTTGTTTTATGAATGCAGGGTTTTTGGAGACAATAATAGTCTTTTGTTATAGCTCTGGAAGAAACTTGAGGCAGGTTTGAATGCTGCCTCAGATCCACTTACTTATTTGCTATATGTTCATGGGCTTACTTACACTTTCACTCTCTGTGCATCAGTTTCCTCATCTGTAAAATGATGATAATAAAAGCATCAATCTCACAAAATTATGTGAGGCTCTGATGAGATGTGTCTTTGGAAACAGTTAATGAACTTCATAAATGTGGTCTGTTGCTGTCATAATTAGGTGCAATGATGTCATTGGACCCCTAAGAAATGAATGTTATTTTGTGTTGGGGTAGGGCGTCTTGTTTTCATTAGGGATGATAACTGAAATCTTCAGGAGAGGTCTCCATTTCACTAATGAAGGGAAAAAGGCAGAAAAAAATGGAAGGGTTTTCTATGGCTAGCTATTGTCTGACTGGGGCTATGAACCCAACTGCTGTGTTTTAGTTTGGCATTCTTTATTCATTAATCCACAATGACAATCTGGGCCATTGTGGTTCAAATAATAGCCTTAGCTGGATCCATCTTGAAAGCTGTTAGGATGACTGTAGCTTAGTATCCTCTGAGCATCTTTCATTGAAAAAAATTTTCATTGAACTGCTGGGATACAAAGAATCATTCATGTATGCATCTTGGAGGTGGCGTTATATTAGAAAGAACATTGAATTAAGAAGCGGAGGGACCTGAGGGTTTTTGTTTTTTTTGGGTTTTTTGGGGGGGGGAGCAATTGGGGTTAAATGGCTTGCCCAGGGTCACATAGGTAGTAAGTGTCTGAGGCTCGATTTGAACTCATGTCTTCCAGACTGCTGGCTGGTGCTCTAAGGGACCTGAGTTTTAATTCCCACTTTGCTACTTACTACCCATGTAGCCTACATCAAATTACATCACATCCTGGGGCCTCATTTTCTCACTTGTAAAATAAATGGATTGGAATTAGGAGGCCTGTAATGTGGCACAATAGATAGGGTGCTGGGCCTGGAGTCGGGAAAACCTGGTTTCAAATCCTGCCTCAGACAATTTACTAGCCCTGTGGTGCCTGACTTAAAATCCTGTTAACTTCTTTGATCCTCCGTGTCTTCATCTTTAAAATGGGGATAATTGGGGCAGTTAGGTAGTGCAGTGGATAGAGCACTGGCCCTGGAGTCAGGAGGACCTGAGTTCAAATCTGGCCCTTGACACTTAACACTTCCTAGCTGTGTGACCCTGGGCAAGTCACTTAACCCCGATTGCCTCACCAAAAACTAAACTAAACTGAAATAAATTGGGGATAATAATGGTACCTTCCTCATAGGGTTGTTTGTTGTGAGAATCAAATTAGTTAAAATATATAGCACTTTGTAAACTTTAAAGCATTTTATATAAATGCTAGCTATTATTATTCAAGCTTGAAATCTAAGTATGATCCTAGGATGATTTTATAACAGCTCTTTCTTCTGTTTGTTTATTTTTGTCTTATAGGTAGCTCGTTGCTGTTTCTGCTTAGCTCCTGATGGAGAAGGTATGTGGGGAATTAACTTTGTTTGATCCTAATCTGTTTCACTCACAAGGCTTGGTATATGGACACTAACTTCGGATAGATAATTTTGTCGATGGTAGGAATGTTTGATGTGTTTTTATAGCTACATACATGCATGTATTTACATACAAAGACTATTTTCCCATTTTTCCTGGGTTGTGGGGGGTTGTGGTTGTGGTTGTATTCATTTCTCTCATTCTTTGCCAGGGCTTTTGTTTACATTAAAATAGCCTCTAGGATTAGGAGGAATTGCAAGCAGCATGTAATGGAAAGGCAGGATAGACCTGTGATTGCATTGGTATAAAAATTCTTAGATGAGGAAATTCCCTCTACCAGTGTAGGCCAGTGCCTTCTCTGGAACTTAAGAGTGTTGGAAAGCCCCCTGGAGCGCTGAGAGTTTAAGTGATTTGCCCAAAGCCAGTGTAGATCCAGGGCTAGATCCAGACTTGTGATTTCCTGGCTCTTAGGCCAGCTTTCTATCCACTGTATTACACTGCCTCTCATTAGGCAAGGCCTGGAAACTAGAAGATCTGAGTTCAAATCCAGGCTCAAGCACTTAGTAGATATGTAACCCTGGACAAGACACTTAAGCTCTGCCTCAGTTTCCTCATCTGTAAAATGAGAATCATAATAGCACCTACCTCCCAGGGTTGTTGTGAGGATCACATTAGATAATTATAAAGTACTTAGCACAGTACCTGGCACATAGTAAGTGCTATATATTATTATTATCATTATTGCTATCATTATTTTTGTTATTGTTATTTTTATTGTTTATTATTATTGAAAGGTATACTAGTTTAATAGGAAGGACCTTGGCCTTTAGAATTGGACAAGTCCTAGCTTTTCTATCATTTACTAGCTCTGTGACCATAAGCAAGTCACTTCTCATCCTTGAATCTCCAATTTCCCCATCTGTAATGTGAAAAAAATAATAATACTTAGATTACCCGCCTTATAGATTATTGGGAGGATCAGCAGAGACTCTCTCTTTCCCTCCCCCACTTTTCTCCCTCCCTTTCTCTCTCTCTCTCTTATTCTCCCCCTCTATCCTCTCTCCTCTCCTTCCATTCCCCATTTAGTCTCTCTCCTCCTCTCTCCACATATATCTATCTGTATCCATGTATATAAAATGCTTTGCTAAATCTCAATCCCAGTGTAAATGTCAGTCATTACTCATAATTGTTTGATGACTAGATTTTTAAAAATCCAAATTGAATTAGGAAATCTGTGATAATTATCTCTGTGGATCCTTCACTGTATTCTCTAAGGGGAGGGTCTAGGTGCTTATGGGGATTGTCCCCACTGGGCATTTTTCTTCCAAGTTGGGGTCATTTTGCCTTTTGGAAGTTGTGCCAAAGTGAATAGGGCTCTTGAGTAAATCTCCTTTCAGCCAGAAAATGCTGAGGAGTTATTTATTTTTCTAGACATTCATCCTTCTGTAAGGGCATGCGAGGCCAGGATGAAATCCGCACTGAGGGCCCCAGGGAGCTTGTTTCTGCATTTCTTGCACAGTTAGAATCAGGACAAGATGGGGGGGTTGGGGTAAAAGAGGAGAGGATGGTGGAGGAGCAGGAGCAGCCCTGCAAAGCAGCAAAGCCCCTCCCTTCTTCTCTCTTATTTTCAACAGATGTTGAGGAGCCTGATGATCGGAGGGGAGGACAGCAAGTCATCTACGATGAAAAGAAAGGCACTGTCTACAGCTATACTTACTTTCATTTTGTCTTCTTCTTGGCCTCCCTTTATGTGATGATGACAGTCACCAACTGGTTCAAGTCAGTAGCTTGTTTTCCTTAGGGGTTCAAAGTGGGTGTTGGGAGATCACAGGAGCAATTTTTAATGATGCTGTAATAATAAATAATAATAATTAATATCTATATTGCATAGTAATTAATAACAAGGGGTAGATTTTAGAGAAGGAAGGGTTTTCTTGAAAGTCTCTGTAGAACATAATAAGCTTCTTGAGGACAGCGCACTGCTTTTCTTTGTATCCCTAGTGCATATATGTAGTAGGTGCTTAGTAAATCATTTATTGCATAAATGAATTAATATAGCTTTGTAGGGATTGAAAGGTTCAAGAGACATAGTTTCCGAGTGATTTAATCATTTTATTAGTAAGGCCAGCATGTTAATTTTTGTTTTTGTTTTTCCTAATTTTTTCTTTATAATTAATTTAGTTTTCAACATTCACTTCCATAAGATTTTGAGTTTTAAATTTCCTCCCCCTTCCACTTCCCCCCTCAATGGCATGCAATCTGATATAGGCTCTACTTATACATTCATATTCGGCATGTTTATTAATAAAAAGATTGTCATTTCGCCATCTCTCTTAGACCAAAGACAGCATGGCTGAAGGCTTACAGTTTATATGCCCTTCAAAGAGTAGGTGTTCCTCAGGGTGGGAATCAACCCTGATTGGTTAACAGTTAATGAGAGAATATTACAATGAGGGGGCTGAGAGTAACATCCTGTCACCTTTGGACTGAGAGGCTATCTCTGTACCCGGACTCTGTATCTCTCTAGCCTTTGGGAAATCTATTCAAAGAATGCCACTCAAGCCTGAGCAGAACACAACAGCTATTCCATCTAGGTAGAGTCTGAACAAGAAAGTTAGTCCAATGTCATTATCAGTGATGTCCTTTAAGAGACTGAACTTTTTAAAAGGGGGAAACTCTGGATCTCCCCAAATCATTGGTTATTAATAATCATTTCTCTCAGCTTCTAAACTATCCATACTCTTAAGAAAGCTTGAGAGAGGAGAGGCAGGGCCAGGTTGGTGGAATCTCAAGAAGGTCAGGAAGCTCTCCTCCAAAAACTTCTTCACATAGACCTAGAAAGGAAATCTAAGAGAAAGCCACAGTGAGTCACATAGACCTAGAAAAGGTACCAGACTGAATCCTGATGAGGAAATTCAAGAAAAAGCCACAGTGTGTCACTTTTCTAGTCCAGGTTGTTATAGGGATACAGAGAGGTCTTCAAACCTTCAGGGCCTGGCCAAGAGCTTGCTGAAGGGAGCATGCTGATGTAGGAGGAGTCTCTACACCAGACCCAGAGGCCCGAGACCCAGATGATAAAATGTTGAGATGAAAGGAAAGTTAAAAAAAAAAAGTTTAAGCATATTTTTACAAATAAAATGAGAACACTAGAGGAAACAATTGGAAAAGGAATGAGAGCTATGGAGGAAAGAATTGCAAAGGGAATTAAGAGGACTGTGACCTTGAACAGGTGCTGACTGGCAGTTTTATGGCTCACTACCCAGTTCTTAGCAACAGATACAGGGCCAACTGAGGGAGACACATGAGCTCAGGGTCAACAAACAGTTGCAGACTGTGGGCTGTGTTCTGAACTAGAAGCAAGTTCAGACAGTAGCAGCAGCTATTTAGCTTATACCCATGGAGTGGTCTCAGTTCCAGCTTCCAGCCCAGTGTGGAACCTTCATAGCTATGACCAGGGGAGGATTCCCAGTCAAATAGCCCTCACACCAGGGATACAGCAATCAGATGACATTGCCCTGGATCAGACAGTTTGTGAAGTGCTGAAAGCTTGCAGGGACCCAACCTGACCTGTTCCTGAGATCCTTGAATAAAACAACACTAAATACCCCTAGAAAGCAGCAACAAGACCAGTCCAGACCTTCCCTCCAAAAGTGCCTGGAGCCCAGTAGCGTGAAATCCAAAGTCAGAAAGTAGTCTGGAAGAATCAACAAACAAAAAAAGAATCCCATCATAAAGAGCTATTAAAGTGACAGGGAGCTTCAAAATACAAAACCCAAGAGTGACTTCAAAACTTCTTCATGTGAATGGAGTTTTCCAAGGTTCTAGGATTTGAATTTTATGTTACAAGGTATTATAAATGAGGAATTAGACAGGAGAACCAGTGTAAAGAGTATCACCAGAGAAATACTTGATAGAATTTTTTAAAAAAAAAAAGATGGCCTGTGGAAGACCTAAATTCAGATTGTATCTCTGACACATAGAGACTGTTTGACCTTGAGCAAGTCCTCTGCTTTCCAAGCAGCTAAAAAAGGTGCTGATCTGCCTTAGGTCTTTCCTACAATGAAATTACAGATCCAATTTTTAAAAAAATATAAGTCAGCCACAAATTGAGAGCAAGGGATAAACTGGTAGAAGCTCCACATGGCTCTGTTGGTATCCATACAATGTCAAGAGAATGAGAGGGAGGCCATTACCATGTTACTGGACCCCATGGAGTTGATTTAGAAGAGGGCATTAGGATTCATCAGGATGAGTGGGCATAGACAGGCTTTGAGCAGCATTATTGGAAAGTATGCCCACATCTCCCAGTCAAACACCAAATGTGTATTAAGCTCCTACAATATGCCCAGTCATTATTCTAAGTATTGGGATACCAAGCCACCATTTTAATAATGATATCATAGATGACTTGGAGCATGATTTTTAAAAGGAAGGGAGTTAAGGGAAAAAGAACTAGCTTTCAAGGAGGCTCAATCAGTTTATCTTTCTTTCCAACAGCTATGAAGGTGCTCACATTGAAAAATTCTTCAGCGGAAGCACGTCTTTCTTCTGGGTCAAGATGGCATCATGTTGGATGTGTGTCCTGATTTATCTGTGGACCCTCATAGCTCCTCTCTGCTGCCCTACCAGAGAATTTTCCGTATGAGAGATCTGAGAGCCCTTCTTTTATCAACAACCGTCATTCAATTTGATCAGTCTGCCAACTAAAATACTGTATTTTTTAAAGGTTTTTTTTTTTTAAAGTAATGATTAATGCAAGTAATGATTGGACCAGTCCTAAAAAACACCTGTGAAATTGCCAGCACCAGGTTGGCCCAAAGGGGGTCAGGAAAAGCAAGCATGCGATAAGAATGTTTGGGTTTTATTGGATTTCTCCCCTGTGAAATGATGAAAGAAACTACCATTCACCATGGAAAGCATAGTTTTATTTTAAACAAGAAAAAATTGTTTGGGTCCACGCTGATCATACATAATATGTATTATACATATACTTTTGACTTTCGTGACCTTTTATAATAAGATGGTGCCATTAAGTTCAAATTCAACAAATATTTCAAGTGCCTACAATATGCAGAGCACTATACTAGGTGCTGGGGTGGGAGTTGTAAAGATAAGTAAATCATGGACCCTGCCTTCATGAAGCTGGTCATCTACTAGGTCTCACTTGACACATGCACAAGTAACTAGTTCTAATGCAGCTTTCAGAAAGCAGGATTCTAAAGGGCTTAGTGGGATGTTGTTTTTGTTTTTTTTTTTTACATTTGTTTTCAGTTTCTTTTTTTTTTCTTTAGAAATCTGGCTGGTAAATCTGAGAGTTGTTATTCTTTCAGCAGATTTTTTTTCCCAACTGGAGATTAAAGGTTCAGCATATTTTTGTAGAGGAAGAACAAGTTTCTTTAGTCTGAAATCTATATCCCATGTACAAAAACATATCAAGCAGCCTGAGGGTCAGTCTTTGGCCTTACGTGGAAAGGGGAGTTCTGAACTCTGCACTCGAAACACTAAGATGGTTTGTGTCCTTTGTTTTTGGGATGAAGTATGAAGCATGGAGTTCTGGCCATATTCTTCATTGTTCCTAACTTCCTAATATTTAGGGATTGAAGGATGGAGCGCTTACTTTCAAGGCAGTTGAAATCTAGTGATTTTAATCCTTTAAAAAAATCCCAGAGATTTTGTTTTAAATTTTTTTTCAGTCCTGCTTCCCTGTGGGCCTTAAATGTCTTTCTCTGAACTTGTGATGCTGGAAATCACAGGTATCATTTACTGTCCTCTTTGTCTCGTCGGGCCCCCTAACCCGTTCTCTGCCACTTCTTTGTGATAATGTGAATAAGCACAATTTATTGACAACATGGTCTCACCTTATTGTTATTACTTGATCAAGGTATTGCAATAATTACAACTGTTATTTGTATTGTTGCATACATGATTTCAAGATAACTATAAAGTTGTCTTTTTCCATACCTAAACTATGGATAGATGCTTGGATAGGGTTTTTTTTTTTAATTGTAAGTACTTTTAATAACAATATTCTTAAAAGGGCTTAGATCTCAAAATTGCTTTTTTGGCTGAAACCTGCTGGGCATATGACTCTCTTCTTTCCTCTGTCCTCCCCAACAAATTTGTTGGTTCTGTGCATAAGAGGGCTTTGATTTTGTAGCTTTTGTTATGTTCCATATATTATTAGCACCTTTATTATTTCTCTGGGATATCATGTCCGAAGAGAACTTTGGGGCCAGAATCAAATAGGTCTGTTGTGAATGTGACCCCTTAGACTCAAGAGAAGGGGATCCCTGCGTTTTATGGGAAGGGATAGTATTTGTCCAGTTTACATAAAGCATCCTAGGGTGTTTCACCAGATCAGCGCTTTAAAGTACTTCCTGTGAGAAATTGGATTTCTGGCCATTGCACAAGGAAGACCCTTAACTAAAATCAGCCCAAACAGACATGATCTGCTGAGTAACCCTGGGTGCTTCATGATGCAGATGTGATGGGGGAAATCTACACTTGGTATTTCTGGAGTTTCCTAAGCCATTCTTGGCCTAGAAATAAGAACCAGGGTGGGGGGGCGGGGAAGGGGGAAGGTAAGAAAAGAGCAACGTTCAGAGCAGGTTGGGGGCTCAGCCTCAGAGCTCTCTTTCCCCTCCTGTGGGTTGGGAGGACATTCTATAAACCAAGAGATTTGTTAATGATGCTCTCAACCTTCCAGATGAGAACAGTTTTTCATGTAAAAGACCTAGTAAATTGAAGTAGTTTACAACAATGTGCCACAGGCCAGAGTTAGAAATGAGCAACCAGATCATGGATCTAATGGGAGCGTATACATTCCATTTCTTCTCATTCTTCTCTTCCTGCTCTCCCTTAACCCCATTCACCAGTCTGTGATTATAGACTGATACTTCTAGAACTATATGTGTATCACACAAGTACACATACATATATGTGTGTATATGTGTGCCAACACATATGACATATATGTGATAAACACAGTTATGCATGTATTTATATTGGCCACAGTATTCAGTTTTTAGATGTCATATTGAGCTTTTTCCCCTGTGACATCATGAAGGAAACAATTACCAGTCACCATGGAAAGTATTTTTTTTTCTTAGAAGAAAGAATTGTTTGAATCCACCCTGATTATGAATGATAATATATTGTACATATGCTTATAGATTCTATCACATTTTATAATTAGGAAGTATCACAGGAGCAGAGAAAAAAGGAAAAAAAGATTAACACTGAATGATCACCATGGTTCTTGGATCCATGGGGTGTCATGACTTGAAGTAAATAGATGGATGCTACTTCTGGAAGCCTCTGCTTGCACACAGCTTTGAAGCTTTGCAAAGTAAGCATAATTGTGGTTGTCATTCACAGTTTAGAGGTACGGTATTGTCTGAGAGTTCAGGGAGTTCCTCAAATTGGGGCTTGGGTTGGATACGGCTTAGGAGCAGCCTTCAGTAGAAGTTAGGAGGAGAGACTTGAACCTTTTTTGGAGAAGACATGAGTAAGTTTCTGTTATTGTTGGTGGTGGTAGTAGTGGTTTTACTCTCTGAGGAGAGGGTATGGTATTCCTTAGTTTGCCCTCACATTCTTCCTTTGCCTGGGCAATAGAGACCTCTGCTCTAAAAGAGACAGAACCCAAATTCAAGGGGTGTCTCAAAACCTTTGAATTACTGAGTCTTGCTCACATGAGACAGTGGCCTTTTGCCTCCTAGAACATCCCCTGGCAAAAGTTCAGGGTACTCTTGGCCAAGGACCGTTTCATGGTCAGTTTGGAGATTCCATTATCAACCAGTCCCATTATGTTCCAGAGTGTAGCTTCCAGAGATTTGGTGTGTGGTACATAATTGTCTTTTAAAACCTGAGGTACTCACGTAGGCAGATTCACATACTGCTGCTATGGCCATTGTTTAATTTCCCCCCCTTTTAAAATTTTAAATATATATGTTGGTGATATAAAATGGGGTTGATGTGCCCAAAGTACTGGTGGCCTAGGGGACATCTGTAGAAATCTACCTTATTTATTATAGTGCTCAGCTGATGGGTCAATATGTATGCATACCTGTCTTTTTGTGCTATAGGATGTTGTGATTCTGTGATAGAGAAACTGGAAAAAAAAAATTCTATGCCAACTTCAGTTACCTGGGCTACTTTCAGTGATTTCAACTTGATCATCTCACTGGCCTTTATCAAAGAGATGAAGCCTCTTGTGAATAATTAAAGAAATGACTCCTGGATGTCTGCTCCACAAGACATCCTCCCTCACTCACAGAAGCTAGAGAAGGCTGTAAAAGCCCCGCGTTCTTCCTCTGTACCATTCATTCACGTGATGTTAGACATAGTGGAAGAATAAGCCCTCATATTCTTTTCTGCCTGTTTTTGTTAATGATGGAAACACTAAGATGGAGGTCTCTGGGGATTATTGTATATAGCATTATGTAAGAATACTACACCCGATGACCACACATCCTTCTAGAAGCCAACCTGTCTATTTACCATGTAAGCTATTAAGGGGTCTCGCTCAACAGATCCTCAATCTGTGCCACATCCAGAAATTCCTGACACAGGTTCTTGGTGTCAGCTTTCAGAAATACTTTTCCTTTTTTTTTTGTCTTTTCGGTAGGAAGAGCTTGAGGGAACTACTTTGCAGAAAAATTTGGAGCCATCTTTTTTGGAGAGGTTGGGGAAGGGCATATGAAATATATATGTAGATAAGGGGGGATTCTGAGATCTTAGAATTTCTGTGCCTATGAATGGGAGGTTTGCTGGCTGAGAGGCTTCTGTGTTTTATTCTTCCTAGTTCCTTAGCAGGATTTGCGCAGTGAGCAGTCATGAACATTGGGGTAGAATCTCCCAAACAAAGGCTATCCCTTACCGTAAGGCAGGATATATTCACATTTTTTTTCCCTCCCATGCGTTTACTACACTGGTGCTTCGTGTTGCCCTAACAAAGGGAATTCCAGGGATTGTATTTAAACTGCTGTGGCTCCTCATCTCCACCCACGCCCCCTTTCTTCCTCTCTGAATATTGTCGTTTTGATGTACACTTGAATACACATCTTTTTTTTTAAGTGAAAGAATGTTCTCTTGTGAAAGGAAGGTGATGCCAGTATCAGGAACATTAAGCCTAGGAAGAATGCTGGGTGGTGGGAGGACCAGTGACCGCGTGGGGTTTGACCATTAGTTTGTAGGCCACATCCTGAATCTAGCCTTCTTGTAGCATTGTTTGAGGGTGCTTTCTCCCCCATTGTCATGTAATCATTAAGCTCTCAGTGGCTTTAAATTTAGTACTGTGTTCTGGGTGCAATTGGGATCTCCTCTGGGCTTCCCATGACATGAGACCTAAGGAGAGCTGTTCACATAAACTATGGGAACTATAATTGTCCAATCTGAAATCTTTCCCTTCAGATCTCCCAAACTCCTCCCCAAATAGGCATTTAATCAGACCCATAGAGGCAATTGTTTTGGAAGAGAGGAATAGCATTTTATTTTTAACCAAAGAGTCCCCTTTTTAAGAATTTTTTAAAAAATCAGTCATTTTGATAAATAACTTAATGGAAGAAACAAAGTGGGGTAAAAATTCAAATGTAGATGAAGTTGGATCTTATTTATATGAGCAAGGTTTAATGAAAGTAAATCAATAAGGTGATCCTTTCTGGAGAAGGAGCCTTGGAAATTCTTTCAGGTGAAGCTTGTGGCAGATTTATAATATATGTCTTTAGAGGATATTTATAAGAAATTTAAGAGGATGCTTTTTTTTCCTTCAACAAAGATTGAAATTTAACTTTATTTACAAAAATGGCTGCAAAAAGATTCTGCAATTTTTAAACTTTGGTGATAAGTTTTACAAGAAATATTTTTAAAATGTTTTTACTTTCCTGAAACAGAGACTTTTTTTAAATGTAGTTTTTGGAATATTTTTACTTAGCTGTAGTTAAATAATGTGGACATGTTTGCTAGATTAGAGTTTGAGGAATAATTTGTATGCTAAATGTACCACTGTTTTGGAGTTTGTATTGGCCTCCACTTGGGTGAGGATTTTAGCTTCTTACTGACAATTGGGTTTGTATGTGTTGGTTTCTTTTTTCTTTTCTTTTTTTTTAAACCAAAAAACCTCCCTGTTTTCTATAAAAGTGTCTAAAGCAGTCTCTTATGTATAATACTTAGAAATTGCTAAGTACAGAATTGAATAAAGTTTAAAATGTAAAAACTAGCTTGTTTTTGTTTTTTTTTCTCCTCATCAGCTAACAGTTTATAAAGTCACTGCCTTATTGGTGAATAATGTTTTCTGGTGTAGAAAGGCAAAATTTTGTTGAGGGGGAGGTAGGGAGTGCAAAGGTCACTAACCCTTTTGGTATGCTTCTTTCTAGCTATTGCTGTGATTTTCATGGAATAACATTGGAGGAGGAGAAAAGAGTGGGATGCCGCCCCTTCACCCGGGTTCTTTTCAGTTTTGCTAAATAAAACCCTTGGGAAGAACCCTTGGAAATGATTTGCCAGACCCAGGGAATGATA